CCCCCTCTCTCTCTCCTTCCCTCCCTGCCTTCCTCCCTAACTTTCTTTTCCTTCCTTCCTCCCTTCCTCCTTTTCTTCCTTCCTTCCTTCTCTTCCTCCCCTCCCCATCCCCTTCCCCCTCTCCTTCTCCCTCTCTCTCTCTTTCACCATTTCAGAACATCTATGCCTCTGCTTATGCAAGTCTGGTCCACACCAGCCCTGTCTAGGGGCTGAGTACAAATCCTTGGAAGGGGCCCATTGCTAACCTGAGACTGGGCTTGTCTGCGTGCGATGCTCAGCTCTGCCTCCTCCCTGAATATCACTTTCCTGCTGGTGGCTCAATGCTGTGCTTACGATGCCACCATTAGGAGAAACTTAAATGCACCCACACCAGGTGGGTAGAATGCACTATGGAACGAACACTCAGGGGAGTCCTATGTGGCCATGAAATGAGAATGAGGAAGCTCTCTATAAAAAACGCACATGGCATGATTTTCAAAAACGATTTTTAAGTGAAAGAATGCAAGTTGCAGGAGAATATATGCAGTATTCTCTTTGTGTAAGAAAGAAACTTTCTGTGTGCGTATTTTCTAATTTTTGCAAAAAGGAAGCATAAACCAGAAACCAATCAAAAACAGTTACCTGTCAAAGGTGAGTGCTGACAGGTAGAAAGGACAATAAGTGGAGTGTTTTCTGTGAGGTAAAAAGACGAAGAACTCAAAGATTCCCCTGTTGGGATACGTGGTAAGTGTTCGTGCACCCGGGGTCGTAAAGGCGCATCTAACCAGCCCCCATGAGCCTGGAGAAGAGCTGGGCTGAGTGGATGGGAGCAGAGGGCTACCGGGAAGGGGCCAGCTGGGCTAGTGGGCAGAACATTTCTAGCTCAAGAATTTTCAGACATGGGAGTACTGGTCTCGGATGCAAGCATCAAGATAGGGTGTGGGGTGATAGCAGCCACCCAGAACCCTGCCTGACACGTGGACCAACCAACCTCCTTGGCACGAAGCTGCTCACTTCCCACGGAGGCACTCAGCAGGGGCCGGAGGGAACCGAGGAGCTGCCACCACGGCCAGTCCTTGACCACCAGGAACACAGCCATGTTCTTCCGGATGCACTGCGCGGCCAGCCGACGGATCTGCAGGATGAGAGCAGAGAACTGAGGGGTCCTTCCAGAACTGGTGAAGGCAAAGGAAAGAGAGGAGGCAGAGGTGGGACAGGAGGTGGAGGAAACGGGTTTTCATCCTAGTGGAAGGGACTAGATACTTAAAATTTTCTAAAAAGTTTCCTTTCATGGAGTCAGGCTCTCGGCCTCAGGCATGATGTCACAATTTAATCTCACATGACCTAATAATAATAACAGGATGAGGAGTAGAGCATAATGTACAATGGGTCACATCTTAGCATCGGATTAGGTTCAAACGTCACCGTGCAAGGCCCAAAAAACGATCCTTGAAAATCCCTAAAACTGCCTACCAGAAACAATGGCCATGATGATGTTGTTAGCTGATACTTAGGGGATAGATATCATTTTCAGTGTATTTCACATGAATTCCATGCTTCTCAAACCCGAGTGTGCATCATCACCTCCTGGAGGGTTTGTCAAAACACAGATGGCTGGGCTCCACCCCCCAGAGGGTCTGATTCAGGAAGTCTGGGGCGGGCCCAAGAATTGGCACTGCTAACAATTCCCCACCTGACAGATGCTGCTGGTCCGGGGACCACACTTTGAGAAACACTGACCTAATTCATTCTTACTGTGGGAGGGAATTGTGCTAACAAATCCAGAAAGCCTTTCCTCTCACCACCATCCCCACAGCCAACACATGTGCAGCTGGTACAGAGCTTCCTACATGCTGAGTGCTGCCCTGAGCATCTTACACACGTTGGCTCAGTCCTATCAAGGTATTAATAGGTGTTCTTATCATCTCCACTTTACAGATGGGGAAACTGAGGTGCAGAGAGGTGCCGTCACAGGCCCAGTGTCACACAGCTTCTCAGTGGCAGAGTCAGGATTTGAACCCCTGCAGTCTGGCTGCAGACAGAGCTCAGGTTCTTCACTAAGTTCTCTTCCAAACCATCGCAAGGTGTAAGCTACTTGAGTGCAGTGGGCCAGTGGGATTGTCCACAGCATTTTAATTATCAGCCTTTTTGTTTTTTCCTGCTTTCGCCAAGGGCGTATATACTTGAATTGATAAATTCACATTAGCTGAAGGCACAAGTAATGAGACCCAATGCTAGGAGGGGTAAGGAGTAGTAACAACACTAAGGTAATAGCAATCAGTATTTTTTGAGCAGTTACTATGTGCCACATACTGGACTTAGTGCTCATGATGTCATTGTACCTTCACCCAGCTGGTGCGATTTGAACACAGGTCTTTTTTGTCTCCAGAGCCAAGCTGCCTTCTCTCTATTGTGCAGACAATAGAGAGGAAATTCAGTCTCTGAAAGTCTCTGAAGGTACAGGCTCTGAATTGGCCCTTTGGTACCAAAAGCCTGAGTGGCTGGGTCCTGCCTTTGCCTTCTCTGCTGACCTGTGGACGATGGGACAGGTTGACCCACAAGGGCTTGGACAACCTCATGGGTATCTAGATCAAGGCTGACATTGTTGGCAATTTGATGCCAATGTCTTAGAAACAATCATCACGTCTTGCAAAACGTCTCTCAAAGCCTCACCACTCAGGGTGTGTTCGCAGACAGGTAGGCACTGGCACCACCATGAGAGACAGGCAGACCCCCCACCCACTGGATCAGAATCTGCACGTTAACAATACCCCGCAGGGGATGTGTGCACAGGAGCAGGTGTGAGAAGCGCAGGGTGACAGCCCCGAGACGCGAACAGATGCCGCTTTTCCAGGACCTCACGCTTCTGCCGGGGTCACGAGGCGCGCTGGCTTCCGTACCTTCAGTTTCTTGAATTCCTGGCGAGACACGAAGCCCCTGCAGGCCGCCTGGAATAAAACAATACTGTGGCGCACCAGCTTCTCTCGCTGCTTCTCGAGCCGGGAGACCACGCCTGCCTTCAGGAAAACCTGGAAGGAAGAGAAGGTGGCCAGTGAATGCTCCTCCACTGAATCAGACTGTCTGAAACGGGAGGTGCTTGCCGCTTGCATCCACCCGAAATATGGGTTAGCAGCTGCCCTTGACGGAGGGTCTAAATGATCGGAGCATCTTGTCTCCTGATGGCCCCTCTTCCCTTTCTGCTAGCCCCTGGGTACTGGGAGTATGGGCCACCTGCCATTAGCATCGTTATCACCAGGGCTACTAGAAGTGCAGCCTCTCGGGCCCCACTCCAGGCCTGCCGAATCAGAACCAGCATTTTAACGCCATCCCCAGGAGATTCAAGCACACATTCTTTTGAGAACCGCTGCCAGGACAGATCTGCCTAAACTTGGCCTGGCACCAGAATCACCAGGGAAGGGTGACGAATGCAGATCCCCAGGCCTCACCCCACGTAAGGTTGAATTGATGGAGTTTGTGTCGGGCCTGGAAATGTGCACTTTTTGATGAGTGCCACTGGCCATCGGAGAGAAGCGGTGCCCTGGAAATACTTGGTCCAGAAAATGTAGGGGAAGTGCGGGCAGCCCTCCTCGGTCAGGAGAGAACGGGGCCAGGCTGGTGCCACCCACGGAAGGTGCTCAGGCATCTCTTGGAAAACAGTTAGCGGCCCCCAGTTTCCAGGACTTGACTCATCAATAATGGATGCAGGCCTCTGCTGCAATGTGATCACTGCGTCCTTGGCATCCCGCGGGGCCGCCTTCGCATAGACAGCAGGGAACACAAAAGGATTTTCTGAGACAGCCTGACGCTTTGGGGCCAGGCCTGCTCCAACAGGGGTGGTCGGGTAGCTACAGTTGGTCACGCCTCCCCAGAGACCAAGGGAAGATGCTCCAAGGGTGGGATGTGAGTCAGTGCCGGGGGAGGGGGTCGCTTCTCAGATGCACTTATGCATATTTCTATTACGTGTCTGCGCATTCCTTTGCCAGATGTGGCTATAACCCCAAAGGTGTTGTGTCTGTGGAAACACTGGACAGCTCCATCTTAATCAGTGATATTATCAAGTAATCGGTGACATCATCAATTAATGGTTAACATTGCATGGAGCGCTTACTGTGCTCTGGATAGGAACTAACAGCTTGATATGCTCATAAAGCACTTTACATGCATAATCCCATAGGGTAGTTAATATGATCCCCCCATTTTATGAAGGGAGAAACTGAGGCTAAAAGGGCTGTTCCCAGGATCCCCCACTAGCAAGTGGCAACACCAGAGCTTACTTCCCTCTATCTGACTCCAGACAAGAGTATAATTACCACTGAATATAATTAACATTTGCATGGCATCTACATTTTTCAAGGCTCTATCTTCTGTGTTTCCTTTTAACACTCAGAACAACCCTATGAGGAATATATCGGCTCAGGGGGTCATGTAACTGACTCAAGGTCACGTAGCTAGTGATCAACTTGAACCCAAAACCTTGAGTTCATCTCCCGCATCCATTTTCCACGTCCACACGAGGCTTCATTTCCTCATTCATTATGATACACACGCCTAAAGTTTGGGGTTGCATTGTAATTTGATTCCATGTGGAACACAGGGTCTCTATAGTCTCCATTCCCCTAAATGTATTTTCTGTAACGGAGACCACTCTGCCAAGCCCGCCGCCAAACCTTTCTCGATGGGAAAATGAAAACGCACACACCCAGTCGTTGCTAACTCTGTTTTGCAACCCTCTATTGCATTACAGAGCTTCCTATCAGCCCAGGCCACCAAGACAATTAGCCTCATTGAAATAAAGACACGATTGACTCATTACTTATCAGATTGCTTCAATAATGACTGTATTAATTTCACAAGCTAGTGAGTCCCACAAGCTGCTATAAAAAAAAATCAATGATCAAAGTGATGACAGCACTAGTTCATATATTACAAAAGGTGGCGGCTGCTGCCTAAACTGCTATTGATTAAGTATGGAGCTTTCATTACAAAGATAATTGGAAACGACCATACACAGAACGGGAATAAGTCATTGCCTCTGCAGCATCTTGTTTTGATTTTTTTTTTTTCCTTTTAAGAGCATATTGCTGACCAGGAGTCTACTGCGTGTGGCATCCCAGCTTTTTCATAAATGTCATGGCCCTCAGCACAGGCCTTGATAAGGCACCGGGGGCTGAAAATCACAAAGAAAAATCTAAACTCTTCGCTTTTCATGGGTCCAGCTGCTTATCGGACCCAAGCAGAGTGACACCCTAACATCCTCATCTCTGAGGAATCTAGGGGCCTCTGCCATGCAAGCTGTTTTTCCACTAAAAATGCTGAAGTCCAAGGTTTAAATATCTGACATGGTAATAGCTTCCATATCTGGGACTTCTGAGGAACTGGCTCTTTTCATCTTAGTAATTTTCTAAGTAAGTTTAAGTCTTTAAACATTAAAATGTCGTCCTATTTGATAAGCATCTTGCCCTACTGACAAATGCATTTAACAAGGAATGACAGCCAACCCCTATTAACTGACAATTTACTGGTTCCCATAGCCAACTTGGGGAGAAAAGTTAGAGGACAAGAGAGATTGATAGCAAGTTATATATCTAATGATGTCACAATAGCTCCATTTTACAGATGCGGGAACTGAGGCTCAGAGGTGAGACGACTCACTCAAGATACACACAGTTAGGAAGTGTGGACCAGCTCAGGCTGCGCTCTCTCCACGCCATAGCCTTCCCACCTATAAGTGCCGAATCCTGCAACGCATGTGAGTTGGAGCTGCCCTTAAGGATGTCAGTCTATTGCCTAGCCTAGCTTCCAAAGGATACGCTGACCTTGATTTGTTCTTGACTGTTTCTTAGTGAAAACCAAGTATTACTCAATAAGAGTAATCATGACTGGGATGTTTGGCTTATAGACTGCTTGTCCTCACCACTGTGAAATTAGATAGTGACTTCTCCTTTATTCCTTGCTTGCAGTCGCTGCTGGGCTCATAGGGATTGGTTTCTATATTTATGAAATAACTAGTAATTATCTAGACCAGTGGTCCTCACACTTGAGTGTGCACTGGAATCCCCTAGTGGGCTTGTTATAACCCAGAATGCTGGGTCCCAGCCCCAGAATTTCAGAGTCACCAGGTCTGAGGTTGCACCTGAGAGCTTCTATTTCCTGCAAGCTCTCAGGGGGTGCCTGATGCTGCTGGTCCGGGGACCATACTTTGAGAACTGCTGGGCTAGAAGAATGAAGTTCTTGGAGTTGAAGAATAATTCCTCTGACGCTGGACCCGAAAGACCTGTGTGTAAAGACTATGATATCAATTTCCATTAATAAATAATAGAACCCACAGAGTACTTAAAAGACCCTGGATTGGACCAATCCAGGTTTTTATGGCATCTATACATGTACTCCTAGCTACCTGTAAGACTTTGAAAAGGAGATGATTTCTGAGAGATACAGCTTCCTCATCTGTAAAGAAGGGGTACACCAATGATCTCACAGGAAATGGTAAGGGCGAAACAGAAATAATACGTGAAGTTGCCTCGTGTAGCACCGGCTCCTGGTGAAAGCCCAGTAACCGACAGGTTTATTCCCTCTTCTGAAAATGTGTGCACAGTTGCTGCCAACCCTCAGCAGGATAAATCAGGCTGAGACCACATCAGACTAATAGCTTCAACCAAATACTTTAGCAAGACCAAGAGGTCTACAGAGAGAGGTTAGTGAGTGTATGGGGCAATGATCAGTATAAATGACTGTGGGCTCTCCAAGGAAGGAGGTATGATGTGGCAGCCTACTCAGGGTTCCAAGAAGCACTAATGGCCGGTAATGCTACCATGGTGGTCTCCTGGAGACGAGAGCCCTTCCTCAGCACTTCACATAGCACATGGAAGGGCAAGGTGATCGATTAATGGATGGAACAGTTTTCCCTTTGGTTTATTTCTCTCCAGTTTATGTTTCTCAACTTTGTCCCTTGTCCCCTGCCCACCACCTGGCCCTTGAGTTTCCAATCTCTGTTCCCCATTTTCCAAACCATAACCCATGGAACATGGAACACTAGTTTGGAGAGAGGGTGATCAATCTTCCACAGGAACAAAAGGATGGGGTTCCCACAGTCAAATAGTTTGGAAAGTCCTAAATACTATATTTTCCCTCTTGAAAACTTACAGGATATAGGAGCATATTAGGGCTCTGTGAAATTCTTCGCTAAACATTTAGACATTTCTGGAAGAGCTTTTGGTTCAACAGGAATTTGAAAAAAAACAACCTATTTCTCTCAACTCAGATAATCATGGGCCTTCTTCTCAAGCTCTTTTCACTTAACCACTGCTAATCAGCGAGTAGAGTTGTGCTATAGTTGGTTGCAAAGTAAAAGTTACAGAGCTCTAAGTTAAGATCAATGTTTCCACTCAGGTTTTATGGCAGCTCTTTCTGCAGCTCAGAAAGGCATATTAAGGTCCAGAATGCTAATGCTTCGAGACCACCAAGGTCCCTGGGAGTGCAACCTCTAATAAATGATATTTCCCCAAGTTATGCCTTCCCACATGATAACATTTTCTCTTCACACCCTTGTAAAATAGGCAGGCCCCCCTCCCCCCAAAAAAACTAGCCCTGTGGTCAGCTGGTTGAAAAGGAGACACACAGAGGTAGACACTGAGGTGGGACATGCATCAGGTCTCTTCTGGGTCCCTGATGAGCTGGGCAGAATGGCATAAAGGAGAAGGTGGACTCACTTGGCTGGACCCCACAGCTACCGCCTTCTTCTCTAGGTCCAGGGTCTGCAGGAGCTCGTCCACAGCCTGGGGAGAAGAGAGAATTAGAAGAGAAGGCAGATAGAGGACAGTAGACGCCCAAGTGGAAGGTCAGGCTGGCTGGATGGCTGGGGCAGAGAGGACGAGCCCGCCTGTCTGGGAGCTTTGGCCAACAGAGCCCCACCTCACACAGGTGATGGCCATGTATGAGCACCTACTACTGTGTGCCATCCACTCTTCTGGGACCTTCGCAGACACCATCTCATTTCATCCTCAAAGCAACCCAAGGTGGGTCATCATACTACCATGTCCATTTTATAGAGGAAAGAAACCAAAGAATACAAAACTCAATGAAAGATGTGTCTGCTATAGCAAACAGTATGGAGGTGGGGGAGGAGAGTCCTACAAAAATTAAACACAGAATTACCACGTGATCCAGCAACTGAACTTCTGGGTGTATACCCAAAAGGTGTAAAAGCAGGGACTTGAATAGATATTTGTACATCCATGTTCACAGCAGCATTATTCACAAAAGCCAAAAGGTAGAAGCAACCCATGCGTTCCCTGACAGACGGATGAAAACAATGGGGCATCTACACACAATAGACATTAATCAGCTTTAAAGGGGAATAAAATTCTGATGCGTGCTACAATCTGGATGAATCCTGAGGACATTATGCTACGTGAAAAAAGCCAGTCACAAAAGGACAAATACTCCATGATTCCACGGATATGAGGGACCTAAAATAGTCAGATTCATGGAGAAAGGAAGTAGAATGCTGGTTCCCAGGGGCTGGAGGGAACGGGGTTGGAGAATTAGTCTTTAATGGGGACAGAGTTCCAGTTTTGCAAGATGAAAGAGTTCCGGAGATGGGCAGTAGTGATGGTTGCATAACAGTGTGAATGTGCTTAATGCCACTGACCTACACACTTAAAAAATGATTAAAGTGGTAAATTTGGGGTTAGAACTGAGGTCTGTCTGGCTACATTGTGACATCTATGTCCTGACTGCTGCACATGACCAGGATGGCTCCAAAAGACCCTAGGCCACCAAGACATTCACCCGCTGTGTCACTCAAGTCCCTTGTGACAGTCACCCCAACTCTGTCCTTCTTTGATCGTACTTGCCAGACAGCCTGACTCTCAAACACATTTGCTAAATAAATGACATAGCCATTAACCTGGTGTGCCTGACCTAGAGTATAGATGGAGAGCCTGTGTTTAATTTGCCTCATTTCCTCCACTGCCCCTGGGGCTGTTCTATGCAAATGGTAGGAGCTCAATAAATGTGCTGACTGAATGAATGAATATTCAAACAAGAGAGATACAGTGGGGTTGATGGCGTGGGGCTGGGGGCGGGGAGAAAGGTAGACCCACGCAAAAGAAACAAATTCACTCCAGGAGATTCCTGGATGCAACGTGGCTCAAGTCACCAGCACTTCAATGGAATTTTCCTCTTTTATGGAGTCCCACAGGCTGAAACAGCTTGCCAGAGATTTGTACCCTCAGATAAATACTGGTCGCGCCTGGTTTCTTTGTGACTGCCAATTGCCCGCCCACTCCACCCCCGTGCCACCCCTCATGGACCTTCCATCCACTGAAAAATAATAAAGTCAATTTTCAGAATAAACTGTCAGGAAAGCAATTGCGACACTCAAGAAGCAAAAGGTATTATGAGACCGGAGTAATTTAGTAGATGAGTTTCAATTCCACGGGTCATCAGCATCACAGAAAACTTCCTAAGATACCCAAAATAATAATAATAAAAGCTTATTAAATGTCTAGTCCAAGGCTGTGATCTGGGAGGAAGTTCCCTCCTCTGACCTCCTGGAAGAACATTCTATAACGTCCCTCCAAAAATTCAGTGGTTTCTCTTATTACATTTTAGCCAAACATGTTTCAAGGGAGCTATAGGCAGCAGAATGCATAAAGTCAATATATCCAAAACGCAACACTTTTTTCTCTCTGCACAAGAGGAAAACAAAATAAAAATGGGCCGAACATAGGAGGCATGAAAAATAAATGAAACCTACAGCCAACGAAATTTGTCTAAGTCTACCTTAGCGTCAATGCCCAGAGTAGATGTTTGGGGGGGAAATGAAACAGAATCTGGAATTCGATCCACCTAGGTTGAGATCCTGGTTTTAGAACTCACGAACTATGTGACCTTGGAAAAGCATTTCACTCTAAGCTCTGGCTGCTCTTCAGAAAAATGGGGGGCAAGGGATAGCATTATTTCAGGAGATTCTGTGGTTGTGCTTGTGGAGGACTTGACATAGTACCTGGCATACAGGAAGCACTCAACAAACATCATGAGCTAGTCTTAATGTCCTAGAGCCAGTCCTACCAGCTCTGTCAAGGTCAAAACCTAATAGAGGTGCTATAGACCATGAACTAAGCTTCCATTGCTCAGGTACGCCCCAAACAGCCAAAACACACTCCCGACCCCCACAATACCTGAGGATTCATCTCCATCTCCTTGTTTTCTTGGAGCCCTTGAGACGTCTGCATAGCCAAGAATATTAGGCCTAACAAAGATATTCTGTCCTACTGACTTCATCTTACAGAGAAGAACGTTTAGGTCCAAATGGTGGGGTAAGGGAGTGGCTACAGCCATTGCACTAGATTTCTGACTCTCATTTTCCTCACCTGCAAAATGTAATAATATCCCCTGCCCAGGCTGTACAGGTGTTGGGATGAATAATTGAGAATCTGTGAAAATGACTTTGTAAGTGACTTTGTACTTAATTACTTTGTACTTAATGATTATTATCATCATTAATATTACTCTTAAGTTGAACCATATAAAACTGTCACTTGTTTAGGTGAAACATCAGTGATTTCATTTGGTTGTACATTAATGTAATCATTGTCCAACAGCCAGTTGACGGAATCCAGAGCAATAATCCAGGTTTACTATAAGGCATTTCTTCCTGCATCTTTGTAGAATCAGCTATTCCATCTTAATTGTCCAGATAAATGAGGCTTATCCCTCTCAGCATTGAATGCTGAGTAAAGTGTTGGCCATTTTGCTCCAAGGAAACAGTTTCCTGCTGTGTTTTTGAGTCTGAGCAGTGCTCTCAGTGCCTTACACATAACCCATTTTATTTTTAAACCTCTGCAACAGATACTATCTTGTGCCCATTTTACAGAGTAAGAAAGTAAGGTTCAGGGCAATGAAATAATTTGTCAAAGGTCACATACTAAGAAATGATGGAGGATGAAGCAACCCCAGAAAACAGGATTCTCAAGCTTGTTCTCTGCCCTCTGACTCTGGGATCCAGGTCAGCCCCACCATTCACTAGGCTGTGTGACCCTGAGCAAGCTACCCCTCCTCTCTGATCCTCATATTCTAGAATATGGGGAAATCATGCTTATCCTACAAGGATGTAGTGGGGACTTAAGGAGGTCACAAAAGTAGCATGTAGGAGTGAGATTTCCAGAATGATGGAGCAAGGAACTTGATAAACCCTCTCGCCCAAAAAACAATGATAAAAATGGATACAATTTTTGAAAACAACACATTCAATACTCTGGAAATTGAGCCTGGGAATAGACCAAATTGAGAAACATTCAAGAAATATTTGAGAAAAGCCTACTGAACCTCAGGTAAGAACAGCGGGCGTTTGTGACAACCTTGAGGAGGGCCCTTCCCATCCCCACCAAACTGTCAATGCACTAAACCTACCAGGGTGACACAAGCTGTGAAACCCACATATATGCAGTGAGACACAGGAAAATCCCACACCCAGGACCACTGCCACAGACAGAACTAATCCTGGCAGCAAACAAACGGGAAGGTCAATGGCACAGCTAGCCGAAGGTTGTTATCCTGACTGAGGCAAGCAATGGACATCGACTAGCCAGATGCTTAACAAGGAGACGCAGGGAATGGAACAGCCATAGTGCACCATTGTAAGTGCCCGCATGCTCCTGGCAATTAGAAGTCTGCACATGTGCTCAAGGCCACATGCACGCACAGGAGAGATGGAGACACCCTTGCTATCTACATATCCCAATTTAAACATAAAGCCACATGCACAGGAAGAAAACATGTGAAATAACCAAACAAAAAGTAAAAGCTGGGACACAATTGTAAGTGCCTGAACGTTGAATACATTTTCCAATGCACACACAGCTCCATAAGAATTAGGTGAATGCGTCACATATTCAAAGTGTTTGATCACAACCTCTGGTGACCACCAAGCTATGGTGACACAGGAGCAACCCCTGAAAACCCACAATTTATAATAAAAACAAGCATGAAAAGCTGAGCAAGGGATATCAGAAATCTCATACCATGGAAAAGGCAGACTCCATAAATCTAGTCCAGATAAGTTAGTTACTAAATAGTTGGGAAATGATTAGAATCTCGAGATGTTATCACACATGTCCAGTTCTCAACAAAAATGCCTAGTGTCTAACCAAAAATTACAAGACATGTAAGGAAACTGGAAAGTGTGACCTATACTCAAGGAAACAAACAAAAAAAAGCAGTCAGTAGAGATGCTCTGCGGGCTTAGCTATTGAACTTGGCAAAGACTTCCAAGCAGCTATTATAATGCACATAGAGCTTACTATTATGCCTGGCACATGCTGAGTGTCAATAAATACTAGGAACTGGTGGAGGTTCTGAGGTTCTAAGCCCTTGTTTGGCACTGTGGAGTGATGACACACCCTTCACCTTCACCATTCTGGGCTCAAATTGTGAATCCTTGAATGTATCTGGGGAAAATCCAACTCATACCTTCACGTACAGAGTTCCTTTGTGTCCCAGATTTTTACAAAGAACTTTCTCTCCAATGTGCAATGACAAAAAGCATATGGGCTGACATCTCACGTGAAGCTGAACATGCTAGACAGGCTGTGGGAGACTCCAGGAATAACAAAGAGCCATGGCTGAGAAATGCTTCCCCAAGTCACTCCTCAATGAGTGGTGCGACCTGGAGAATCTGTGTCTATGGAATTGGATGTTCACCCTGTGAATTATTTGGCTGTCATCAGCATAGCAACTTATCCACAAACACCATGGCCCAGTGGTCACCATG